TAATATTTTAATCTTCAACCAAAAAGAAGAGGAAAGGGAATTTAAAATATGTAAGAAAGCAAGGTTTAAAGTCATTCCTTTTATTGCTACTCATTTGCCAAACATAAAAAGCCAGCAGTAGTGTATGTGGTTCTTAAATTTTCTTGGGTCAGAAATCCCTTTGATACTCTGATGAATACTATGGACTCTCTCTAGAAAAATAAACGTATGCATACACACAGAAAATAATTTCAGTATCATATATGTTCCTTGAAGTCCAGGTTAAGAACTTAAGAATTGCTGACAAGTTCCTTACATATTTAGGTAGTGTTCATAATCCTAGGCTGGGACATTTATGCCAACTGTCAATGATATATAATCAGTGCATAAACCTATTAGTGATGTAATCTTCATTCTCATTGGTAAGGAAACTGGGACACAGGACTTTCTGACTTGGCTTATGGCATTCTTGACAAATAATCCCTATAAGTATATAAATAAGATATCATCTATGAGTAGTAACTTATTTAAATAAGACAAAAATCACTCTACTTGCCCTATTAATGATAATTACAATACTGTAATGTTAGACTTGATTAAATCCATTTCCTCATTAGCATTTTGGTTCATAGTCTTTTGGAATGATACCTAGATTTTAGAGAGCATAATGAACTTCCCAGAATTTTGTAAAATACAATAGAAAGTAGGTGAGTCACAATTTTCTTCCAAATATAACCTGAAAGGGGAAGACATTATATGGAGAAAGAAGTATTCAAAGCTTCTGGATTCTGTTTTCTGGATTTATCATTTACTGACTTAATTTTTCCGCCTTATTTCACTCTTTGTAAATAAAGAATATAACCACTAAGGTCACATAGAAAAAGTAATCGGTAATAAAAGCATAAACTTTTAAAATACGTGTATCAAAAGTATTAATCTACACTCTTTGTATTCTGTGTACAGTTCTTTTTTCAAGTGTATGGGATTTCTCATTGTCAGGTCTTCAGTTTGTAACGCTTTTCTTTATCATGCACTGGTTTCTTTTTCCCCTAGCTTTGTGGAAAATAAATCAGTATATTAAAATATAAGCAAATAATATCTTCAAAGCTAGTGTAAGAGAAAGAATAAAACCACTTTCTAAACAACCAACTCAAAACAGCCTTTAATATATTAGAAAAACATTTAAGTAATACTTACAAACATGTTATTGTGAAACAGAAACAGCTGTGTGTATGTGTATATGATCCAGGTAGATCATCTCAAAGGAATTATAATAAACACATTGCTAAACATGAATAGATTCACATTTTTATATTATACTCTGGCTTAAATGGGGAAAAAAAGTCTACCATATTATTATGAACACAATATATACATTTTTCTATTCAGCATACAAATAAATAATTGTTCTGTTCAAAAAAAATCACATTACACAACCACGTATTTTAAAAATATATCTCATTCTGGTTTTCTACTGCCACTAACAGTAGGTATTTCATGGTCAGTTTCTTTCGTAGGATCTACCATCCCTTTATATCTCTCCCCACGATGTTGTTCCAGGTACGGACCCCAATTAGACGCTGGTCTGCAGCAACTTGCAATGCGCTGAAAAGCAAAAACAAAAATGCTTGTCTTATAATTTAAGTGCTACACTCTGTAAATAATCAAAGTATGATTTTATTTTAAATCTTTATCTTAACCAAAATGAAATAGGAAGTCTAGAAAAGTGATCATCTAAATTAATAATGCACAATCTACTAAGAAACAAATAACAGTTGGCCCTGTTTCCAGTTTCCACATCTGCAGATTCAACCAACCAATATCGAGGGACGACTATATAATCAAATTTTAACTGTTAATAGAATTGTATTCAAAATATCTGAGTATGTTAATAGAATTGTATTCAAAATATCTGAGTATGTTAATAGAACTGTATTCAAAATATCTGAGTATGTTAATAGAACTGTATTCAAAATATCTGAGTATGTTAATAGAATTGTATTCAAAATATCTGAGTATGCAAAGGATATCAAAAGAAGGTATGTGAGCTCAGAGCAACAGCTTCACTCTGGCCTAAGGATGAGTTAAGTGAGAATCTAAACCAGTGTGTACCTGGGAATGTTTTCAAGAACAAAAGAAAAGGAGCTTCAGGGTCAAAGCATTGACTCAGGTACAGTCTTGGATGGGCTTGAGAACTTATTTAAAATCCAACACTCCCAAGGCTACCTTGATAATACCCTAATGTAATGTCATAAGTAACTTCATTCCCCTGGGCCTCCATGGAATACATATGACCAAAGTCCAGACTGGGTTCAAGGTAATTTATCAGACATTTTCCAGTCTAAACACACTATTGACCAGTTGCTGTCAAGTTGATTCTGACTCATGGTGACAGAGGAGTACTGTGCTCCATGGGGATTTCTTTTTAATGCCACAAGTGTTATTATTTTTATTTTTCATTTTCTATCATTCAAAAACATTTATTAGGCATCTAGTATTTGCCAGCAACTATGGAAGATGTGCTATTTTGATGCCAGTCATTTTGAAGCAACCTATAATAAATATATAAATCTCACATTTTAAAATTTAACAGGTAGTCTATACAACAGATAACCCCTTTATTGTATATTGCCTTCCCCAGCTCTGGTAGCACAGTGACTGCTAAGCAGAAGGTTGATGACTGCTAACCAGAAGGTTGATGGTTCAAAGCCACCAGCCACTCTGCAGAAGCAAGACTGGGCAATCAACTTCTGTAAGGATTTACTGCCTTGAAAACTTAATGGGGATCACTGTGAGTTAGAATTGACTCAATGGCAGTGAGTTTGGTTTGTTTTTTTTAGTGGCTAATGGCATTTTTTCATGTTGTTAGCCGCCTGAATGTCTTCTTTGGTGAAGTATCTCTTCATAGCCTTTGCCTATTTTTAATTGTATTGTTTGTCTTTTGTTGTTGAGGTGTTGATATTTTCTATAAATTTTAGAGAGTAGCCCCTTGTCTGATATGTCATTGCCAATTTTTTTTCCCAGTCTGTGGGTTATCTTTCTACTCTTTTGGTGAAATCTTTTGATGCACATAAGTGTCTAATTTTTAGGAAACCCAGTCATCTATTTTGTCTTCTGGAGTTTGTGCATTTTTAGTTACATTTGATAGTGTATTGAAGTTTCTCCCTATTTTTTCTTTGATGGTCTTTGTAGTTTTAGGTTTTGCATTTAGGTCTTTGATCCATCTTGAGTTCATTTTTGTATATGGTGTGAAATATAGGTCCGTTTCATTTGTCTGAAAATGGATATCCAGTTTTGCACCATTTGTTAAAGAGACTATCTCTTCCCCATTTAATGAGTTTCAGCATTTTGTCCCAGATCAGCTGTCCATAGGTGGATGGATTTAATTCTAGGGTCTATACGTCTCATTGAACCAGTACCAGACTGTTTTGACTACTATAGCTGTGTAGTAGGTTTTGAGATCAGGAAGTGTAAGGCCTCCTACTTTGTTCTTCCTTTTTAGTAGTACTTTACTTACCCAGGGTCCCTTTCCTATCCATATAAAGTTGATGATTAGTTTTTCCATCTCTAAAGAACGATGATGGGATCCAGATTAGATTGCACTATATCTGTAGATTGCTTAGGTAGTACTGACATTTTCACAATGTTAAATCTTCCTATCCGTGAGCATGGCTTATTCTTCCAATTTATGTAGGTCTCTTGATTTCTTATACTAGTGTTTTGCAGTTTTCTATACCCAGAATCTATACCCATTGTCTTTTGTAACTCTGGTTACATTTATTCCTAAGAATTGCATCTTTTGGGTGGTTATTGTAAAGGGTATGCAAGGATGGTTCAACATTAGACAAACAATCATGATCGTATCCATAGATGCAAAAAGGGCATTTGACAAAAGCCAACACCCATTCCTGATAAAAATGCTGAATAAAATAAGAATAGAAGGAAAATTCCTCAACATAATTCAGAGCATATATACAAAACGAGCAGCCAACAACAGTCTCAATGCAAAGAGGCTGAAAGCATTCCCCTTACGAATGGATACTAGACAAGAATGCCTTTTATCACTACTCCTATTCAGTACTGTTTTGGAAGTCCTAGCCAGAACAATAATGCAAGAAAGGGAAATAAATGGCATCCAAATTGGCAAAGAAGTTAAACTATCTCTATCTGCAGATGATATAATCTTACAGTAGGAAAATCCCACAGACTCAGCAGGAAAATAACTGGAACAAATTGAGAGATTCAGCAAAGTGGGAGGGCACAAAATCAACATACAAGTATCAGTCGGGTTCCTTTACACTAATGAAGAGAACTCCATAGGGTTTTCAATGGCTGGTTTTTCAGAAATAGATTACAGGCTTTTCTCCCATAGTGCCTCTGAGTGGACTCATACCGCCAGCCTTTCTTTCTTTCTTTCTTTTTTTTTTAATTAGGATTTGGGTGAAAGTTTACAGAGCACTTGGTTTTCCATTCAAGAATCTATACCCATTGTCTTTTGTGAGATTTGCTGCAATCCCCACACTGTAACAGCATTCTTCCCACCTCCTCTCTATGCCCACCCTTTCCTTTGATCCTTCCTTCTCATCCCCTCCCCCTCCTTCCTAGCTCTGTCCCTGGGCAAATGCTGTCCTCTTGCTCTCATATGCTTCATTGTTCTAATGCATGCATACCCTCCTGATACTACTGTTCACCTTATAGGTCTATCTGTTGTTTGGCTTCCAGCAACCTTGCATTTTTTACATCAAGCAAGTCAAGCATTTCCACCCAGGGGCTCCAAACACACTATAAGGACTGTATTATAACCAGATGAGGTTTTAAAAGTGAGGGTGACAGACATAAAACTCAAAGGTCATTTGTCTTGTTTCCTCTTCATGGACAAGTTAGTGCAAGTATAGATATCATAGCTATTATGTGCTAAGCACTGTGCTGAGACCTGAAGATATAGCAACAAGCAAGACCACACTCCTTTCTCAAGAAGCTCATAGTCTAGTATAGTCTAGACATAAGACATATAAATATATGTAATACACTGTTGTTTACATAGTAACAGATGGTGGTATCAGGTATAGAAATAGTTTAGAGGTGAGTGTGATGAATTTTCTGTCACGGTCATAATCTCACTACTACCATATAAGTAGAGTAATCATTTTGATCATAATTATTTTACATAACATTAAAATAATTAACTTTTAATTTAATTTGAATGTACTTACTTGAAAGATGTTTCCTTTAGCCTGAATTATTTTTATGGTAGCCATAATTGGAATCCAAATAATGCAGAAAATAATCATACACCAGCCTATAGCAATGCCCCAGTCAGGGTATTTGATGGTACCATAAGTAGGTCTGTGAAATGTCACCACGGACCAGAAAAAAATTCCCTGTAAAAGTAAAATGTGAAAAAACAAAGCTAAATATTAGACTGCATTGCATTAATAATTACAATTTTGATTCCATTCATTAGAAACAATTTATCAAAAATTAAAATGAAAATGCATTCAAACAGGTAAGATAATCATGTAACAGGAAGATAACAATACTGAAGGAACAAACTAAATAATTTGTATTTTGGTTATGAATAAATACTTCTAAAATTAGTTCCTCTATGTATTTATAAAAGGTACAAATATTTGTCCAACATATATTTCAACAAAATACATGACCATGTAATATGTCAGATTGAGTAAAATAATATCTGAAAATTTCTATTATTGGGTTTTCATTTATTTTAGCATGGTTCTACGCTACTCCACACACTAGCCAGTATTATCAATTAACTCAATAATTCTGCTTCTCTCCTTGCTTAGCAATTGTTTCTTTTGTTTCCCCTTTACCCCACCCCTGGAACACGTATTTATACATGCAATTGGTGCATATGTATCAGAACATTCTCCACTTCCAGCCTCGTATTGAGAAAATAAGCTCAGTATATATTTGGTTTCCTGGAGAAATTTGAGACGTAAAGAGTTTAAGTCTAAGTTGAAAAAATAATTTTTTAAAAACTACTGGACAAGGCATTAAAACTAATTATTTAGAAATCGTTGAAGTAAAAGACAACAAACAAAAAACAAAAATCACCTAGTGATGTCTCTGAATTCAGGTGACTGTGTTTTACTACAATCACTGAGAAAACAATAGAACATAAAATTTTTATAAAATAGATGCCCAAATTTAATTTCAGAATTAAATGAATTCCATTAATTTAATTTAATTACAGTACTTTAAATTTATTTCACAGTAATTGTACATAACTACAAGAAAATGGGGAACTCTGGTGGTGTAGTGCCTAAGGCATCTGACTACTAACCAGAAAGCTGGCAGTTCAAACCCACCAGCCACTCCTGGAAAGGAAGCTTGGGGCAATCTACTTCCGTAGTGATACCGCCTCAGAAACCCAAGGAGGGGTCACTATGAGTCGGGTCTGACTCGATGGCACATAACAACAACAACAACACAAGAAAATGAATGGAGGAGAGTGGAGTCTAAATACATGATCTGATACAAAAATAAATCATCTTTTTGCATTTTAATGCAAATCCAGGTGCCAAACCTTATGGAATCAATGAAAATATGCTGGGAAAGTATAGTTGTTTCTCCCAAGTTGATAAGGGGCTTATTACAGAGACTTGTCAAGTGAGGAAAATGAAGTATTTAGTGATACTTTCAAAACTAAATCTATCATCGTAATTTATCAAGACCGTGGAGCATCCAAATGTTACTTCAGCACATCCAGTACTTGACTGCCCACAACTTGAAACTTCCATGTGGGGGGGGGGACAACTTTACACTCTTTAAAACAAATATGATAATATGGCCCTTTCTAGAGAAATTTTTGAACCATGAAGGCAAGAAAAACCAAAGCACATCCTCTCTGAAGTTTTGCTACTTCCACCACCCCCACCATTATTTCTAGCCTTGTGATTTTCCCTCCCATAAAGTATTTATGTTGGCACTCAGCCATCTACTAACCTGAACTGTTTATTTAAAAATTACGTATCTGTATGTCATGTCTTTCCAGTAGGGAGATAGCTTGTGCTACATACACATTGTACACATCAGCTTCTAAATAATACCAACTTTTGAATTTATTAACATAAACTATTTCCTCTGTTGACACACGTGTTTCTTTTAGAGATTTCAGATACTAAATACCTCCCATAAAGAGAAAAAAATATTCATTAATATGAGTGTTGAGTATTATTTCTCGGCAATCAGTATGTTTAGAATATGAACTCCTTGAAGGCAGGATCTGGTTCTTACATATCTTTGTATGTTCTGTATTTAGCAGAGAGCCTAGGCACATTGTAAATGGCTTACTATAATGTGTAGACAATGAGCAAATGAAGCATTTATTTTTATTTATCCTATTAATAATTTTTATCTCTATAGGACTTTTAAGAGCCTCTTTATTTTCTCAAATGGTAAACGTTTAACCCTTTCATGACCCAGGTGTTTTCTGCTTTGGATTGTTTGTTGATAACATTAATGGAAGGCATGCTGAATCAAGGAGAATGTTTGAATTTTTGTTAGGAAAAACAGGTTAAGATACATATTATGTGGGATGCACATGTCCCTGTGGATTCACAGGCAATAAGATTAGTTGGACTCATATGTCCCTCTGGACTCTGCACCTTCTAGATCCCTTGACAGTGCACACAATGTAGGGTGCCTGAAAATGCAGTATTTGTGGGAACATGGAATCATCACAAGAAAGGCAACTTCCAAATAATGAATTAAAAAAAAAAAAAAAAAACCACTGCCATCGAGTCTGTTCCAACTCAGAGCGACCCCCATTGAGTTTCCCAGGCTTTAAATCTTTATGGAAGTAGATTGCCTCACTTTCCTCCCACACAGCAGCTGGTATGTTTGAACTACTGACCTTCTGGTTGACAGCCACGTGCCTTACCCACTATGCCACCTAACCCACCACTGCCACCGAGTCATATCCGACTCATAACAACCCCTCCTTGGGTTTCAGAGGTGATATCTACTACAGATGTAGATTGCTCAACCTTCCTTCCAAAGAGTGGCTGGTGGTTTGAACCACCAGCCTTCTTGTTAGCAGTCAAATGCCTTAGGCACTACGCTATGAGAGCTCCTACTGTGCCACCAGAGATCCTTAAATAATGTACAGGAAAATGAAAATATAGTTCTAAGAGCTATCTCCCAGTAAAAAAGCCACAAGAGACAAAAGTTTTGCAAAATTACTATTCCAGGAAAATATTTACCTATGACAAACTGATAAAGGACCTATCTCCAAAAGCTATAGAAAACTTCAACACCTCAACACCAAAAAGAACAAATAACCCAACTCACAAATGGGCAAAAGACTTGAACAGACACTTCACCAAAGAAGATATACAGGCAGGCAATAAACACATGAGAAATTGCTCATGAACATTAATCACTAGAAAGATGCCAATCAAAACAACAATGAGATATCATCTCACCCCAGCAATAATAGCAAAGTTCAACAGATCAGATAGTAACAAATGCTGGCAAGGTTGCAGAGAGATTCGAACTCTTGTTCACTGCTGGTGGGATTATAAAATGGTACGACCATTGTGGCAAATGGTATGGGATCTCCTTAAAAAACTGAAAATAGAAGTACCATTTGACCTAGCAATTCCATTACTAGAAATATATCCTAAAGACATGAAAGACAGGACACGGACAGACATATGTACACCTATGTTCATCACAGCAAAATTCACTATAGCAAAGAGATGGAAACAACCTAATTGCCCATCAATGGATGAGTGGATAACCAAATTACGGTACATGCATAAATGGAATGCTTTGTTACATTAAAGAACAATGAGGGATACATGAATCATCTCACAATGTGGATGAACCTGGAGGACATTATGCTGAGTGAAATAAGTCAACTGCAGAAACACAAGTACTGTATGAGCCCATTACTGTAAAAAGACAG